GGGGCACCCTCGCAGGGGAGTGCACGGGGTTTTGGGGTGCGCAGCCTTGGGGGGGAACGGGATGTGGAGGCGAGCACTGCGGGGCGCAGGGGGGGCAGGGCGGCATGGGGGGGCTCCGCACGTCCCCGGTGACCCGCCCGGCAGCGCCGCGGGGGACCCATGGGTGCTCGAGGGTGCGCAGGGACGCGGCCCCCCCCGGCCATGGGCCCAGCCCTGGTTAAGGATTCCCCGATCCCCTCGCCACGCTCCGGAGCCGCGGGCCAAGCTCCAGGAATCACCACGGGCCGCCCCGAGCGTGCGTGGGGCCTCCCCGGGCCTCCACGCGCACGGGGCTCAGCGGGCACTGCGGGCTTTCGTGCGGCCTCCCGGGGCCTCTGTGGACCTCCGGGGACTCGTCCACAGCTCTGCATGGAGGCCTGGGGGCCAGCTGTGCATGGAGAGCCGGGGAGGCCGCACGAAAGCCCGGAGGGCTTGGGCCTGGGGAGGCCTCCGTGCACACCTGCACCGGTGTCCCCCTTCCAGGGCCGCCCCGCCGCCCCCGCGCTCGCATGAGAGCTCCCCGGGCCTCCGTGCGCAGCCGGCCCCCGGCGCTCTCCGGGCTTTGTTGCGGCCCCCGGCGCTCTCCGGGCTTTCGTGCGGCCTCCCCGGGCCCCCATACGCATCTGGCACCCCGGGCCCTCCAGACCTTCTTGAGGCCTCCCCGGGCCTCTGTACCTACACTGACCTCCCGTCTCTGCGGGCTTTCCTGCGGCCTATCCGGTCCTCCGTGAGAAGCTGGCCTACCCTCCGCTGTGGGCTTTCTGGAAGTCTCCCGGTCGTCTGTGCTCAGCTGGGCCCGCAGGCACTGCAAGCTTTTGTGCATCCTCCCCAGGCCTCCATGCCCACCTGGCCAGCGGGTCCCCGCGTCCTTTTGTGCGGCCTCCCCGTGCCTCTGTGCGTACATGGCCCCAGTGGCCCTGCGGGCTTTCGCGCGGCCTCCCCGAGCCTCTGTGTCCTATCCTCCTCCCTCCCTCCCTTAAGGTGTTTGTAGACACTGATCATCTCCCCCCTCAGCCCGCTCTTTCTCCAGCTGAACAGCCCCAGCTCTCCCAGCCTTTCCTCATAGGACAGATGTCCCAGGCCCCTGTTCGTCCTCATCGCCCTGTGCTGGGCTCTCCCCAGTAGCTCCCTGTCCCTCTTGTGCTGGGGCACCACAGCTGGACAACAATACTCCAGATGCTGCCTCACCAGAGCTGAGGAGAGGAGGAGGATCTTCTCCCTCGGCCTGCTGGAGACGCTCTTCTTGATGCACCCAAGCACCCCACTACTGTTGTTGCCCTCGAGGGCCCCCTGCTGCCTCAAGGTCAACTTGTCGCCCTCCACTGCACCCAGGTCCTTCTCTGCAGAAGGTCAGTCCTGGCATCTACGGGTGCCTGGGCTTGTTCCTCCCCAAGTGCAGGACCCTGCACTTGCCCCTGTTGAACCTCAGGAGGTTTCTCACCGCCCGCTTGCGCCGTCTCTCCAGGCCCCTCTGGATGGCAGCGCAGCCCTCTCAGCGCTTTCTCCCAGTTTGCAATCAAAATCTCACCAACTCCCAAAGTGACACATAAGACGTATGTCAACTGGATTCTTTATTTTCCTCTACACAACTACTCTACTCCTGGCTCAGCTGCTGCATCCGAGCTGCCATGATGCCGTGAACCTGCACGCGATAGAGGCAGGTGTACTTGCCCCTCTCCCAGCTGCTCTGCACCTGGAATTTGAGGAACTGGAAGGCTCTGGGAAGCTGCTTCTGTAAAGGAAGCATGGGAGCCATCATTACTCAGGGGTAAATACTGCGAAACGCAGCCCTGAGCAAGGGGGCAGCCACAGTGCTCCAGGCAGAGCCACGAGATGCTTTGGGTCACACTCTCTTGCCCAAGGCCTTGCAGGCCACCTCAGCTTCTGCCTTGTGTGGTGCCCACAGGCACTCCCAGTATCTTGAGGTGGAAGGTCTGGACCGCCCCTTGCTCCACATCGTAGACAAAGCGCCCCAGGAGATCTTCCTCGGAGCCTTCCTCATCCACACCCTTAAAGACATCAAAAAAGGGCAGCAGGTTACGCTCAAGCAGAGCCCAAGGAGAAGAGCCCGCTCGGGCCCAACTGCGAAGCCTGCATTAAGTGCCGCGCCTCTAGTCTCCAGCTCCAACAACTGGGAAGTGGGGCTGTGCGTCAGGCACTCCTTAGGCAGCGCTCCAAGAGCCCGACACGCAGCAAGCACATAGCTGCAGAGGCAGAAGAGCCCCGCAAAAGAGCTCCCCAGGCGGGACACGCTGCTCTGCAGCAAGGAGGCCGCCCTTCTCGCAGAGCCCTTGCCCCTTCCCTCTGCAGGTGCAAAGCAGAGATTTACAAAGACAGCAGAATCCTTGGGAGCACTGCTCACTTCCCCCGTTGGAGACACGGCCTTCGGGATGTGCTCCACAGTGACAGCCACGGGCCAGATGTGCTCCAGCAGCCCGATGACCACTTGGTGCACACCTAGCGCTGGCCTCTGCATGCAGAGGGACACAAGGACAGCAGAGGGACAGGAGGGCACTGGGGACCTCTTCCCAGAGACAGGAACCTTCCTTAGGCTACACCTCAGAGCGAGGGCCCTCCCAAAAGCCGCTCTCCTTTTGCCCGGCATTCCCAGGGAGTGCAGGGCTCCCTCGTGGAGGCCACGGCAGAGCCTTCCCAGACGGAGGCCCCTGTGAGCCCCCACACTCTCTCCAAGGTGACAGACCCCTCTGCACCTTCCCTCTCTCCATAAAGGGCACCCTGGGCTTGGAGGTGGCAAAATGCAGCTGCCAGGGCCAAGCTCCCCAGGAAAATGCCCCCAGTGATGGTAGACAGCTGGCTGCTCTTGGCTGCAGCTCTGTGTCCTCCCAGGCGCGAGCGCTGTGGCCAAGGGCACGTGGTGGTGAGGAGCATGGGCTTGGCCAGTCTGGGGCTGTGGAGGGGGTGACCTTGGCCTTGGAGTCCGCCTAGAATCAAGGCCTTGGGGAGGAGCAAGGCCCAGCAGTAAATCCCAACTGCAAGGCATCCCAACGGCAAGAGTCACTTCTACTAGGAAGGTTTCTAAGGGTCCCCTCAACCACATCGCATCCTCCCAAACTCCTTCACACTGCCTGAACCCACCCAAGGCGTGAGGCGGGCTGTCCTGCACCTAGAGGACACCCCTGGCCTTCACAGCTTCCCATCTTGGAGATCAAGATGGGTATATCCTCTCCCTCCTCCAAAAGCTGCCCTCCGGGACACTCTGAAACCCCACAAGATGGTTGCTCAGCACTGCTCACCAGCAAGCACTAGGGCCAGCGGGAGCAGAACCTTGAGGAGCCTCCTGCCCTTGTGTCCCAACGAAATGCATGGCCTGCAGGAGAGGGAAGGGAGATGTTCCCCAGCCTAGAGGTGAGCTTTGGGGTCCCGCTCCTCTGCCTAGGGGTTCCGTGGCCGCCAGCAGCCCCAGGACCGTTGGGGAGCTGTGCAGTGGAGCAGCCCTCCTTGTGCACACTGAGGCAGCTGGACACCTCCGCGTTGCACACACGGCGTCCCTCCCAGGTGTCGTGTCCTGGCCGGACACAGTGTGTGCCCCTGGGCTCCCAGGAGGGGAATGGGCTGGGCCTCGTGCACCGAAAGGCTCTGCAGGGCTGCCTGGCATGGGGCTGCTCGGCTTCCCCCTCCCTGCTCCTCGGGCCCCGCTGCACCCACCGGACCCAACCGGGCAGCATCTCCTCTGCTCTAACAAAGATACCACCCAGCAAGAGAGAGAAAAGGTCGCTGATCTGCAAAGCCACCAGTGCCTCTCCCCAAAGCCCTCGCTGGCCTCTGCGAACCTCCTCACTCGCAGAGCTACAACCCTCCCTGTGCCGGCCTCTTTTCTAGGTCCACTGGGGTAAGATCACAAGAGCCACGGGCTGTGAAGGCAGAGGCTGCCTGTGATGTCCTCCTGAAAGGACCTTAGCGCGGAGGGAGGCCACGGTCTGCAGCCTCCGCCTGGCTCTGCTGCAGCCTCCACACTGTCCCAGTGCCTCCCTTGACCCGGCCTGATCCAGCCTGTGGCTGGTGGCAGCTTCTTGCCTTATCCCCCCGCTGCTCTTTTCACCCCATGTGTCACTGGTCCCACTCGACTGCTGTGTCCTCATCCAGGGCTGGCACCAGCAAGAGGGAAGAGGACCCCGAACTGCAAATAGCCCAACGCCGCTTCCCAAACTGCTGCTGGACCCTGAGAGCCTCTGTCGGCTCTCGGCTCTTCTCTGGCCTCCTACTTGCTCCAAACGGAGCTGATGGGGGCAAGGGCCCTTTCCTTCGGATAGACTGGCATCCTGAGCTGACATCAGAAGGCTCCCAACCCCAGCGACCTCAATAGCAAGGTGGTCTCTCTCATGACACCCTGCCTGAAGTTGACCTCGAAGGGTTTCTTTGGCTCTTCACGGGTGACAGGAGACCTGCCACTTTGTGGGACCCCTCAGGTGAGAAAATCAGTCTTCTGGTGGAGCTTCTTTCTCTCAGGAAGGGTTCTTGCCTTGCCTTACTGTGCCTTGTGTGGTGAATGGTGAGCTTTGCAACAAGGCAGGCAGGCATGCTGGAATGCTCCAGCTGGCAGAGCCATGGCCACGGCCTGGGCGGCCAGGTACAGCGGGAGGGATCCCGAGTGCCCCACGGTGCTGCTGGGGGCAGGGGCAGGCACAAGGAGAGGACACTGCCCTGTCCCCATGGCGCACAGGGACAAGGAGACGACACCTCCCTGTCCCCATGGCTCAGAGCAGCCCCGAGGCAGCAGCCGCCGCCCTCAGCTCGGCCGCCTCACGGGGCGGCTCCCCCGACTGCCAGGTCGCCTCGGGCACCTGCTGCGCTCCCATTGGCTGGCTCAGGACCCCGCTCCCCTTGCTGACCAATAGCAGGGCAGCACTGGGGTGATGCCATGGCAACAGTGCTGCCCTCTGTGAGCAACCTCTTCCCGCGCTTGTGCTCCCCGCCTGCCCGCGGCGGGCGCCATCTTGTGGTCAGCCGTGTGGGGATGGCGGCGCCTCGGGGCAGCCGCCCTGTGCCCGGGGCAGCGCGAGGCCCCGTCCCTGCTCCCCGTCCCTGCTCCCCGTGGAGCTCCCGGCTGTTCTATGGGAGCTGGGCTGGACATGCAGAAGCAGCCTGGGGCCAGCAGGGAGGCTCTGCGGATGGGTAGGGCACTGGAGCCCGGGGAGAGCGTCCTGCTGCCCCAGGGTGAAGCAGGACAAGGCCCTCTCGCCCTGCGCGATTTCGTGTGACATCACCTGGCCTCTGTGCACCTGGCCACGGAGGCCCTACAGGCTTTTGTGTGGCCTCCCGGGCCTCCTTTTGCACCTGACCCCAGGAGCCGTGCAGGCTTTCGTGGGCCCCCCGCGGCCCTCCGCAACTTCCCTCTCTCCACAGTGGGCATGGAGGTGGCAAAATGCAGCTGCCAGGGCCAAGCTCCCCAGGAAAATGCCCCCAGTGATGGTAGACAGCTGGCTGCTCTTGGCTGCAGCTCTGTGTCCTCCCAGGCGCGAGCGCTGTGGCCAAGGGCACGCGGTGGTGAGGAGCAGGATGAGCACGGCAGGCTCGGGCAGCCTGGGGCTGTGGAGGGGGTGCTTGGCCTTGAGGTCCGCCTGGAAACAAGGAGCTGCCCCGGCAGTCAGGCCTGCTCTCCACACTGTTACCTGCAAAATGGTACCTGGAGGACTGGCAAGCATGAAGGAGGCTCGACACAGGCAGCAAGCTCCACTGCCTCACCCGTCATAGGTCCTTGATGTGCGGCCTGTATCGATGGTGGCCCCTGAAGCGCACGTGCAAAGCAGCTGATAGGACCCTGCAAGAGCTGGTCGGAGCAGTGAGCTCCTCGCTGGGGTTTCTGAGGCTGCAAGGCCACCCTGAGGCAGCCTCTTGGGCAGGGCCATCCACCAGCCCAGTGCCTGCACGCTTTCCAAAGGCCTA